GCCGAGATGAGGCGCCAGAGCGCGACGCGAGTGGGTGTGTGGGGGGTCCACCCCCCGTGGGGTCCACCCCCCTCGAGGCCGCCCCCGCCCAATGCACCTCCTTGCGTTCCCACGCGGCCGCCGCCTCCTTGCGTTCCACATGCCCCCGCGCCGCGCACCCGCAGGAGCATAAAGCAGTTCCACGGCGGCAAGGAGTACCTGATGCGCGCGCACTTTGGGCTACCGTCGGTCTCCAACGAGGAGGAGAAGAAGGACAAGCCGCCGATCACCGTCAAGTTCGAGATTCCGTACTTTACCGTTTCGGGGATCCAGGTGCGATACCTGAAGATCATCGAGAAATCGGGCTACCAGGCGCTGCCGTGGGTGCGCTACATCACGCAAAACGGAGACTACCAGCTGCGAATGGGCTGACCGGCCGCGTGATGGTCGCGCGCAGACCCGCCGGACTGCGGCGCGTCTCGCAGCAGCGTGGCGACAGCGAGGATCGCTTTGTAAGGGCGCGCGCCGCAGCGGCGCGCGTATTTTTATCGACGACTCTTTATCTCTTCTCTTTTCTAGCAGCCTTGGGGGCTGGGGCTGTTCCGTGTTCGCGGTGGTGGGTGGGCCCCCCGGCCCCCGCTGCCGGTGCCGCTCAACCGCGACGGCGGCGCACCGAGACGCGAGAGAGCCGCAGCAAAACTGACACCCCCAGCGCCCAGGGGCGATTCCTGCTCGAGGGGCTATAACGGAACTGATCGTGAAAGCTCTCGATACGAACTGGTTTCGTTGCGGAGCATAAAGAGTGAGACGGGCGAGCTTCAAATTCAGTGAGACGGGCTGGTTTATTAAGTAAATAGGAGATACATGTACGAGACGAGCCCGCCTAGAGCGCTGCTAGAGCGACGATGGCGCACTTCCACTTGCTTAGCGGCGCCTGCCTGGGGAATAGGGGGCAGGCCAGATGGTTCCTCAGAGTAGCGCGAGCGCAGATGGGGACGGCGATCAGCAAAGTAGCCCAGGCGGCACCCGACTCCAAGGATACGCTGAAGACGCTGAGGATAGCGCATGTCGCTGCGCTGAGGACGGGTACGATGCACTAGCCCCAGCCGTCGGGGGCAATCGTGGTCTGTACTGCTACGCATATGCACAGAGGCCCATATGCATACGCATCACATTACGCCCTCTCGGGAATACGTAAACTCGGTGCGTGTACGTCACTTGCCAGTCCAAATGCGTCGCATTACGCAGCCCGTCGAACGCCTCCCCCTTCAAAAATAAATAGAAAACGTCAATACATACACGTAATCATCGCGTGCGTGACGGTGCGATGGCCCTGTGGTTGCCTCATACGTACCACGTGTCACGTATACGGATTATGGATCTCCGCCGGTGCGCCGCGGCCCGCGGAGGGCGGGGCGTCTTCGACGTATCACGTATCCGCATTACGCATACGTCCTTTTCACCGCAAAGCTTTGCCCCGGGGACGGTGCAATGGCCCGCGCGGCGGGTGCCTTACGTACCACGTCTCACGCGCGCCCCAGAGCCCGCCCCCCCCCTTACGTATCACGCATACGCATTACGCATTACGTATTTTTCATCCTTCGTAGTCCAAGGCAACCCTAGCCAACTTACGGCAGCCCGAGCGGCAGCG